ATGAATCGATATAGTATAGTCGTATGTGAATCTAGTTTTCACGAATTGATATGGAAATCGACCGAGACTCTTGATTTTATCTAAACCTTGACATGTACTTCACCTTGTCATATACCTTACATTGACTTATTTCATAACAGCTGATAAAAGGCTTTGTTAAATAATTAGCTGACGTTTCATCAAACCTTGACAAGTGTGTCTGTATACTTTCACATAATCGAGGACTCTGTTACTTTGACTATCACATATTAGTAAGACAAAAAAAACCCTATGATAATCATCTGAATATATCTAAGCAATACAAGAGAAATTAACTACTATAACTGATGTAATGAATCTTTGAAAATCGTTTTTATGTTGATAATTATCTAATTAAATATATAAACTTCTTAACTTACCATCAAATTCAAGAAATGCAAAACCACGTGTTTTTCCATCTTTATCATGCATAAGAAAACAATCACAAACATGACCAAATTTTGAAAAATATTCTCTTAATGTATTTTCATCAAGTCCATCACGTACACCACCAATAAATATTTTTTTAACTGTTAAATGAACTTCATCATTATTAGCTTCTTCACGTGGCACTTAAAATGAAAGATAAGGATAGAAAAATAAGACGAGAATCTTATAAAACTACAAAATTTCATACTTGCTCGTTTTGGATCAATTTGACGACCATCAAGTATATGTGGTCGTTGTTTCATAAATTCATCTATTACTTGTGGATCAGTAAATGTGACGAAACCAAAACATCGTGATTGACCATTTTGATCTTTCATTACTAATGAATCACTTACTTCACCAAATTTTGTTACGTACTCTTTTAAAGTTTCATCAGTAGTTCTAAAATTATAAATGAATAATTATTTTTCTAGATGTTTTACTTGAGTAGATTACTTTCGAATAATAGTCATCGATACTTTCAGACATCTTTCACATCATAGTAATCATTTAGTTCTTTCATCTAGTACCAGTACTATATCTCTGGTATGTGTTCTATAACATGGTAATTAATAAACTATTAGACCTCATGAATTTTAGATTAGTCTAATAGATTTACCTGGAATAGTTACTATTCTTTCGAGAAACTACATACTTTTTATAAAATTAATCGAAAACTCATTTAAAAGGTCACAGTCAGGAATGTCCGTTCGAAAATGTCCTTAGACGACATGTCTTTTATTTTTTCGTCCTTACATATACATATATACACAGGAGGATGAAAAAACAAAGAATAGTTCATGCGAGGACATTTTCGAAAGGATATTCCTGACTGTATTCATTTAAAGACTGAAATATTTCTTATTCAATAGATCATAGTTTCATTAAATTTTACTTATCGGTAAAAAAATGAGTTGAAAAAACTTACTTAAAAGATAATCCACCAATAAATAATTTACGATGTTGTTCAGAATGAATATCATTTGGTGAACCGATATAACGTAATGATCTAAAATATAATATTCTATATAAATGAAATATTGATATATAAAATATAAATCATACCGTGGTTTTGATTTAATTGGAGTTGAATAATTTGCAATTGATGTATTAATAAGAGCTGGTTGTTGTTGATTTTTTGAAACATCATTCGATGCTGATGATATATCATTACTCAATTTATTTTTATTGCCATTTTGATATTGTGTATTATTATTAGGATTATTATTTATTCGTGCTGAAGACGAAGTTGATTGTGGTGGTGAAGGATATGTTTGATTACGAAAGAATGCACTATTTGCTATTTCCGGTGGTAAAATAAATGTTGGAGGAGGTAAAGCACCTGGTTGTGTACATGAATTCGTTGTTCCCATTAATGGCATAGGTTTTGTTAAATAATTTGATGGAGGAAAATAAGCAAAAGGTGGAAAAGGTGGAGGAGGTAATGTTGGATGATTAATCATTAAATGTGGTTGATAACGATTTTGTGAATGATAAAGATCAATACTTATATTATTAGTATTGAATAGAAAAGCATTTGGACGTGATGTTTGATCACGTGGTATTGCTTTTCGTACATCTAATTCTCTACCATTAACTATATGAGGTTTTTCAAGAACAGAACGATCAACAGAATCATAATCATCAAATGTTATAAATGCAAATCCACGAGGTTTATCTAATAGAATGAGAAAAAACAACAGATTTTTATGAATTAAAATATAATTTTCTTTCTATTTACCTTCTTTATCTTTCATAATTTTACATTCAATTATGTTACCAAATTTTTCAAAATAGGATCTACAAAAAAAAGAAAATAATTGGACATTTTATATGATTTTACTTACTTAAGATCATCCTCAGTTAATTCTTCTTTGATACCACCAATAAAAAGTTTTTTAACTGTTAGTTGTCCTTCTGGTCGTGATGCTTCATCGCGTGGCATTGCACGTTTTGGTTCAGTTTGTCGGCCATCAATTGTATGTGGCCGATGCGTCATGAAATGATCAACCATTGGACGATCTTTCAATATATATAGAATTTATTTGATTTAATGCAATCCAATTTTAATACAAACCTTTAAAACTAACAAATGCAAAACCACGTGATCGACCTTCGCGATCACGCATAATTACACACTCTGTTATTTCACCGTATTTTGAGCAATATTCTCTGAAGAATTTTTATATAATAAATACAAAAAATAATAAAAAAGATTTTTCTTTTACTTGAGTTTATCATCTGTAGTTGTATAATTTAATCCACCAATAAATAATTTTCGATTTTGTTCATCAACATTATTGATTATAGATTTATCATCTTCAGCAGAAGGATTTGATAAGGGAGACTCTATTTTATCAACGGATAATGAAGCCATTCCTATTCTCTATAAATAAAATTTCGAAAAAAACAAATCCTAAATTTATTTGTTTTTATACAAAGAATAAAAAACTATTTACCCAAATGATCTAACTAAAATATAACTAACTCCTCCACACTTCCTACTAAAGAAATAATCTGAAATAAATAAATAAAAAACAAATTAATGATCAATTTTTCTTCTATATTTATACATAAGGTAAATAAAATAACACATTCTGTAAATTTCACTCAGATATTTTTAATCGAACAAAAAAAATGTTTTTCATGTTCCTGTAAAGTATGACTGCGGGCTATTTTGTTTTTGTCTCGATAAGAAAAGAAAAAATGAATCATTAACAAAACAGTGTCCTCGAAAATATATAGATCATGTTTAGACGTCTAAGATAAATCAGTTAGATTCATCTATTATTCAATGTAGAATAGAAATCTTTATTGATGAATCGAAAATAACTCATTTTTCGGATATCTGAAGTAAAAATAGTGATACTTTATATCAGCTGGTAATTTTAGTCTGTATTATTTCGGGTTGAGAATTAATGATCTAATTTTAGAGAAGAGAGTATTCGGAGACATTGTATTCTTATATTCAACTTTCAGTTTTTATAAAGTCGAGACCATCTGACAAAAAATCAAAATGTATACGCGATTGAATAAATACATTTTTAAGCATTAGGGCCATGATGCCTCTGCTACTCTTGTGTACATATATCATGTCCTACTATTCTCTAGCGATAGTTTTATCCGATACTTATATAAATTCAAAAATCTATTCTAAATTTTAACGTAAAATGATTAATAATTTTGTTTTAACCTATTTACCATATTTTACAATTCTAAAATAAAAATACTTTTCTTGAATTTTTAAAAATAAACAAATAAACTAACCTATTATTAGATACAACATCTTTATAAACGTTTTTTTTCTTTATTTGCATTTTATCGAAATTTATACATAGACAATCAATATTAACAAAAGTCTATTGCATTTTCAAATCAAGGATAAATATAAAATATGTATTCCTTGAAAGTATGAAAAAGAAATAAAATTAGAAAAGAAAGTAAGAACGATTTAAATCGAAAAAGTAGAGTAATAAATATTTTTATGTCTATATGTGGACAGTAATGGTTGTTTATTTATTTATTTGCATTCGAAACAGCTGTGATTAGCGACGATCATCAAAATAATTCGAGAGGTACCGACAGATGGCAGTGATGAATGATCTTATACATCAAATATATATGTCTA